GAGCAGGAGGAGGAGGAGCAGGAGGAGGAGGAGCAGGAGGAGGAGGAGCAGGAGGAGGAGGAGCAGGAGGAGGAGGAATAGGAGAAGGAGGAGGAAGAAGAGGAGTAAGGCTGAGGAGATGGATGGAGGAACTAATAAACTTCATGTTTAGTGAGAGACCCTGTCTTCTCTGACATTACCCTCTGCCCTCCACGTGCACTTGCCTACGTGAGCCTATGTACACGCACATACATACACATGTGTACATGCACATACACACACAAACAGGCATACAAATGCAGAATAAAGGAAAGAAATTGCAAAAGGGGAGCTGGTTGATTTAACGACACTGGCCTTGCTCAGACGAAGAGGAAGTCTCAGCAGTGTCAGGCCAACGTCTCAGCACCTGCCCACGGAGGTCTTTAGCCTGTGACCCTGTCATCCCTTGCAGAGATGGAGCTCGAGGCTCACAACGACTCCAGCATCTACTACGATGAGTACCCCGATGACTTTGGCTACATCATGGACATGGAGGAGCTGGTTCCGCAGGAGGCCAAGGTGGCCCCGGTCTTCCTGGCCGTGATCTACAGCCTGGTGTGCTTCCTCGGGATCCTAGGCAACGGCCTGGTGATCGTCATCGCCACCTTCAAGATGAAGAAGACGGTGAACACCGTGTGGTTTGTCAACCTGGCAGTGGCCGACTTCCTGTTCAACATCTTCTTGCCGATCCACATTGCCTACGCCGCTAAGGACTACCACTGGGTGTTCGGGAAGGCCATGTGCAAGATCAGTAACTTTCTGCTCAGTCACAACATGTACACCAGTGTCTTCCTGCTGACCGTCATCAGCTTCGACCGCTGCATCTCCGTGGTGCTTCCCGTCTGGTCCCAGAACCACCGCAGCGTCCGCCTGGCCTACATGACCTGCGCAGCCGTCTGGGTCCTGGCTTTCTTCTTGAGTTCCCCGTCTCTCGTCTTCCGGGACACAGCCTACGTGCAGGGGAAGATAACATGCTTCAACAACTTCAGCTTGGCCGCCGTGGCCGAGTCTTCCCCACACCCCACCCACTCGAGAATAGTTTCTGCAGGGTACAGCAGACACATGGCGGTCACCATCACCCGCTTCCTCTGCGGCTTCCTGATCCCCGTCTTCGTCATCACGGCCTGTTACCTCACCATCGTCTTCAAGCTGCAGCGCAACCGCCTGACCAAGAACAAGAAACCTTTCAAGATCATTATCACCATCATCGTCACCTTCTTCCTCTGCTGGTGCCCCTACCACACCCTCTACCTCCTGGAGCTCCACCACACAGCTGTGCCTGCCTCTGTCTTCAGCCTGGGGCTGCCTCTGGCCACCACCATCGCCATTGCCAACAGCTGCATGAATCCCATTCTGTATGTCTTCATGGGCCACGACTTCAAAAAATTCAAGGTGGCCCTTTTCTCCCGCCTGGTCAACGCCCTGAGCGAGGACACGGGACCCTCCTCCTATCCCAGTCACAGGAGTTTCACCAAGATGTCCTCATTGAATGAGAAGGCTTCGGTGAATGAGAAGGAGACCAGTACCCTCTGAACCTTACCTGGGAATGTCCCTGTGGGCATCACAGCCCAGGGATGCCCAGAGACACCCAGGGACTTGTCTCCTGAAGTTGGAGACACACCGGGAGCCTTCGGGTATGCTCCAGTGCCCACTACGTTTTGCACAAGGAGGCTCATGTTTTGAGTGGGGTCCCCAAGCGTGGACACTCTTCCAACAAGACAGCAGGCAAGCAACCTGAGCCTCTGCAGCAGGTGTAGGGGATGGACTTTGACTGACTCAGAAAAGGGAGGGTCTCTGAAGCCAAGACTTTGGATTTTAGAAGAATAGGGAGGTCCAGGACCTGAGGGGCTTCATAGAACCTTGCAAGGACAATACAGGGCTGCATGTGTGTGTGTGTGTGTGTGTGTGCATGTGTGTGCACTGTGTGTGCATGTGTGTGTGTGTGTGTGCATGTATGTGTGCATGCGTGTGCATGTGTGAGCATATGTGGTGAAGAGGTGGAGACAGCAGAGAACCCCAAAGGATGTGGGTACAGGATATCTCATACCATCGTGCCACAGGAAGACGGAGCTATGGCGGTGGACGCCTGGGGATTCGGGTGGTGGCAACTCTTTGCTCCAGTGTGTAAACTTACCTAGCACTGAACCCTGAGGCTGGGTGGGAACCTCTTCACAGAAGCCTCCATCCCATCCCCATCTCAGGGTCTCTTTTGCCCTGGAGACTGGTCTAGAATGGAGTTTTGGGACTCCATCTTCAGAGTGTCTTCCAAAGGCTGTCTGTGAAGCTGACCAGTTCATCTGACTCCTCCTCTGACACACTTCCCAAGTGTGGCATTACAGCCCCACGGGCAGCCCAGGATCAGGCTTCCCTGCCCTGGCAGGGAAGTGACTCAACCAACCCCCCACAGACCATTCATCAGTAATAAAGACCCGAGCCCAACTCCGCCTGGCTGATGTCATTCCCTCACTGAGGACGAGGCAGCTTGCCTTTATTTAATTTACACGTCCCATGCATGTTAAACATTTCATATGTACCTTCTCATTTATTCTTCACAGAAACCTGAGTTAGGTCCTCGTACACATGAGGAAGCAGAGGCTCAGAGAGGTTAAGCAACTGGCCCAAGGGGACCCAGTTAGATGTTGGCAGAGACTGGATTCGGACCCCAGTTGGCCTGGCTCAAAGGAAGATGAAGAGTACGGGGGGAGCTAATGGGTTTGGGGTTTTAGCCATAAATACTAGTTTTTCAGTAGATCCGTGTGAACGTCTTAATAGTCTTTATGAAGTCTTGCATGTTGTTTGCAGAACAATCCAGAGGCTCGATCTCCAGCCTCAGCCTCCCTGGCTCCCGTCACACACACCCTGAAATCTGCTGGGCAAGCAGAGGGAGGAACATGGTAGGTCAGCCTCTCCTGGTCCAAGGCCTCCTGGCTCCAAGTGTCCTCTGTTCTCTTCCAAGTCACTTTTCCACTGGGGCGTAACACACAGATGCATGTCCTCCGGCCCGGCCAGTTCTGCTGGGAGTCACACTTCATCAGGGGACAGACTGTTCCTCCTCGGTTAGGTCTTAAGATGAGGCAGTTCTGAACTGATCCAAGCTGGAACCTCTGGCTTCTCAGAGAGCCTGAACATATGGGGAGTGAGAACAGTAAGGGAGGTTTAAAAATAGCTTTGTGTTCCCATTGTCACCCCCCCCACCCACACACACACTCCTGACTCCCCAGGGCTACAGATGTGCAACTGAGACATGCCATGGTATGGAATCCATCATGTCAACAGAGGCGCCTGTCCGTGACTGGGACCGCATGGCCTCTTGGACAGTGTACTTCCTGCACACCAAGGCTGGCCAGGCCAGGCAGGGGACCAGGAAATCTTTTTGCCATTGGAAAAACTGACCAACAGGAGTGTTATACCAGTCAATGTCAACCCCCTAGAGCCCACCTTCTTCCTCCTGGCTGTCACATCACCCCTGTTCTGACTTCCATTCGTACCAAGCACTGAGTGCAACCTTTGGTCTTGTCCTCATGGCTTCTCACAGCCTACAACCCCCCCCCCCCAATCTCCCAGGACTTATGTATAATCCCTGCAGCCAGCAAAGTGCGGTGGTTCCCGGTAGACAAGATGTGGAGGGACAAGAAGGGGAGATCGCTGGAGTGTGGGGGAGTGGAGTGTGCTTCTGAGCATCTAGATGCTCAGGAGCACTCCAGACTGTGCTTGGACCTGGGGGAGGAGGGCGCTGTGGTCCCGCGGGTCATGTAGAAACTCAAGTAAGGGCCACAAAGCTAGAAAATGATATGGGGCTCGGGGGCTTGGAACCAACTCTGCTGCTGAGACTTCAGCTTTGTCAGTCTCTGGAAGCAGGATGGGAGGGAGGAGGGAGGAGGGAGGACAGGAGGGAGGAGGGAGAGGAGGGAGGACAGGAGGGAAGACAGAAGGGAGGAAGGAGAACAGGAGGGAGGAGGGAGAGAGGAGGGAGGACAGGAGGGAGGAGGGAGAAAGGAGGGAGGACAGGAGGGAGGACAGGAGGGAGGACGGAGGAAAGAGAACAGGAGGGAGGGGGGAGAGAGGAGGGAGAAGGGAGAGCAGGAGGGAGGACAGGAGGGAGGAGGGTGGACAGGAGGGAGAACAGAAGGGAGGAGGGGAGAGGAGGGAGGACAGGAGGGAAGAGGGAGTAATGCCACCTCACCTTGGAACCTCCATCTTTGCTGAGCCATCTCCTTCCCACAGCCCAGGCTCTCTTGAAGCATCATCCCCAGGGACCCCCTGTCAAGAGAGGAACCTTGGGGTCTGTGGCTATGAGGTTCAAGCGGATCTGTCTACCTTCATGGGGAGGGTCAGACTTTTCCAAGGCAGAGAGCGGCTGGTATTGAGTGGGTGGGAGGTCCCGGAGGGCTCCAGGTGGCCCTGCAGGGGCAGCAGACAGGACTACTGGGGAGAGAGAGAGAGCCTCGTGAGGGCTCTGGGGGCTGGGCTGCAGGGAGCAGGAGGTGGACAGAAGACGGGGCTGGGGAGACATGGGTGCAGGCTGATCTGCTCAAACCTGCATGTTGGATCCTCCCGTTCTGTGCTGGGGAGAGAAAGGCAGGAGGCTACAGCATTGAGCGAGGCCTCCATACTGCTCCAGAGCCAGAGTGAGCAGAGGACTGGGGCGGGGAGGTATTTAAAAGCTCCGAGCTTTCTCAGGGGAGTGGTTAGCGGGAAGGCAACCCTAGGCCCATCTGTGCAGTACAGAGGTCCTGCTGCATTAGTCTGCCGACGGAAATTAATTGTAATTATTATTCAAACGTACCTCCCTGTGCACAATTACGCTTCTCAGGGGAGTTCCCTGAGTACATCGGGAAACTCTGTAAATAATACATACATTAACCTGTGCTAATGCTGCCGTGGCGGTCGCAGCGGCTGTGAGAATCACTCCACGTGTTCGTGCCTTGGACAACCCTGGACATGCCAGCCAACTCCTGGCCTAGATGCTTGGCCACTGGGCAGGTGGGGGATGCAGAGCTGGTGGGAGAGGAAGACACACAGGTCTAGAGAACGCCTGGCTGGGCTGAGAGGCTCAGCAGCTGCTGCATTAGCAGTGTGCTTACCTGGCTGTGTTCAAGTCTGGGGCAAGCCCTTCTGTCTCATGACCTCGTTGAGTCCTTACGGAAGCCTCTGTGGTAAGACCCAGCGCCATTGTCTATTAATGGAGGAAGAGGTGGAGAGATTCAGGAAGGTGAGGGGTTTGCCGAAGGCTTCACAGGTAGAGAGCTGAGAGCCAAGCCCTGTCTGTCTGTCTGTCTGTCTGAAAGCTCTTGCCTTCCCAAGAAGTTAGTCAGCCTCTGCCCTCCACCCCCACCCCCTACTCCCAACTCTTGTGAGTCCAGGGACTGCGCCATCCTTGGAGGGAAGGGCATGGCGTTTATAGAGCTTGCCAGTCAGTTCCTCTCAGCCTTGGGGTCTTGAGGTTTGGAAGAGACACGACTTCAAGCTCACTCCTTCTCAGTAACTGCTACTCCTCCCTCTCCCCTCCCCCCCCAGCTGTTTCACAGATCACAAAACTGAGCAGGGTAATAGTGGTTTGGGGACACCCCCTCCCACCTCACTGAATATCCTGCCATGAGAGGGGTGTCCACAACCTCCTGAGAGTGAGTTTAAATATCAGCTTAGATACCCAGGGTTTACCCTTTTCACTCCCGAGCTTTGAGTACCAGCTTTGGTGACCGTGTGCCCAGGGTCCAGCAGAACCCTGGCTGAAGTAGAGGTAGGTCTTAGCAAAACCCATTTTAGAGCAGAGGCAACATGCTCCTAAGACATCTTCACTATTGGCCTGGATGTGGGTAGGGGTGTCTCTGGACCTAGAAAGTAATGACAGAGGCTGTAATAAACTCACAATCTGTCTGTCTAAGATGAGGATGCCTTTTTGGAAAAAAAGTAAAGATCTTTTAGAAGCAAATCAATCCGTGGTGTCTCCAGGAGTGACCTTCCCCTCTGTGTCGCTGAAGATAGCAGTGTGAACAGATGTGGGGACTTTGCAGACAGCAGGGAACACCCCTCCCTCATCTCTGTGTCTTTACTTATGTTCTCCCCCCTCGCCCCAAATGTCACCTCCCGCTGGGCATGGTAGCTCACCTGTAATTCTGGGATCAAAAAATTGAAACGTGAGAGTTAAGAATTGGAGGCTAGTCTGGACTACAGAATGGGATCTCACTTCAAACACTACAGCCCAAACCAAGCAAACAAGTCACCCCTCAGCCTAAGAGGTACCGTCTCCTCTGAGGCTGCCATTCTACTCAGGTCACAGGCGAGATCTCATTTTTCTGTAGCATGGTCACCAAACCCACTTTGCTTATTCACACCTTTAGTAGTCTCCTGTCTGTCCCCTGTTGGGAGGAGAGCTCCATCAGAGCAGGGACCTGTGTGACTCACTTGCCCCGCACCCCGCAAAACCCCAGAAGAGCTCAGCTTGGAAACGCTGCTGCTTGCGTTTTGCCGCCACTGAATAACCCTACGATGGCGTCCTTTCCCCTCGGTTACCTATTGTTGAAACCTCACAACACCCCAGTTCCAAAGACTTCCCCTTTGCGTGACACGAGGAGAGGGTGGGGTCCTCCTGTTTCTACAAGTGTGGAAACCAAGGCCCAGATCATGTATGAAATGGAGGGGCTATGGTTTTTCCTGAAGCCATTAGGAGCCCTCAAGGGGAGTAGAGGAGGTTTTCGTGAAGGCGGTATCTGCCTCCCTGGGCCTTCTTTCCTGGCTGTCTGATTTACTGCAGCTTGGGGAAAAAAAAAGAACCAGATGCCCCAGCCCCTGCCCTCAGCCCCCGCTCCGTCCCCGCCCCACCTCAGCCCCATTGTTTCTCATCTCTTCCAGACCAGGGTTCTGTTAAAGGCTTGGCAGGCGTGGCTGTGACCACAGACTTCCTGTGCTTATCCTCTGGAAGTCGTGAAAGCCCCAGCTGGGCATCGGGCCTATGTTGGCCGTGGATGGTCCTCACCCAGGCAGGAGGATTCCTGGCGCCCTGAAGTTCTGCAGCCCAGATGCGCTGGGAGAGACAGACCCAAGGCTTCTCTGCGTCCTGGTTTCCACCGCACAGATGTTTGGCTTCTTACAGCAAGCATCTGGATAATGGAACGAGTTTCTGGTTTGATTCCAGATGTTAGGTTGTAGAGCTGGGAGCCAGGAAAAGGGGGACTGGAGGCCTAAGCGATTGGTAGATAGCATCCGATGGCTCTCGGCCAGTAGCAGGTGACACAAGGCTCTGGTCAGGCACTGGTGCCTCACTGGGGAGGATTTACTAAGGATGGGTTTTCAGGTATAGTGAGATGTGGCTAGAGACACATCAGCTGACCTAAGTCACCCTACTTAAGACGCCTCTTCTGTATGGATGAGGAAGAGGACACCAGGTTCCCTATAGATGCCGTCTGTTGGTTTGCGTTGAGTGCTTGTCAGGCTCTGGGGGA